TGTATATATTTTGTTAGTCTTGCAGCTTTGTGTTGCTGTTGGATCATTGATGAATGTTGCTGTGATCCCTCCATCATTTTCATCTGCTGATTTATCAATAATCTTACTATTTGGATTATGTGTATGATCTATACGTTGATGTATTAATTGCTCAACAACTCAATATATTTCTTGTTTACTAAATTAATTAGAAGAATGCATGTGCATTTGACTTTAAGCCTCATTTTTTTTGGGAATAATAAATTATGTAATAGTATTTTTTTTATTTTATTTTTTTTGGAAAATGTGTGATTAATTAGGAAAAAATTTTGAATATACGTATAAAATTATTTTATTAGGAAAATATTTGATTGAAAATGTGTCCCTCTTGTCTCCCTTTAAAGCAAAGCTCTTTAATTTTTAGATTTATTTTCGACAATACACTTACATAATAAAATATTTTGAACGTAAATTTAATTTTTTTTTTTACTTTTTAATCACATATTCTCTTAAAAAATTACTATCTAAAACATCATGTTTTTCAAAATAATGACAATCAAACGTGGACGAGTTTGGACTCAAACAGGGGCAACATATCGTTTAAAATTTTAATTCATAAACGGTGTAATGATTATTCATGAATTGATGTAATTATAAAGTCCATCGAGCTGCAACTTACTTCCATCTTGACAAGGCGGTGCCATGAACTTTTTGTAATACACGAAATACGAATAGGGTATCTCATAATGACGAAAGGTTTATACCATCTGATGATAAATTGACGAAATATGGAATGAGTTATACTTGGTGTACATAATTTTTTGTACATAAGGATATCATTTTCCACACGTGGGTGGGACCCACTTTTGAGGGAAAGAACACCTCTATGTTGTAATTTTTATGCAAACCAAGAATAATTATGTGACACACAAGTCATACGCAATGATTGAGATGGCCCCACAATTTTGAAATTTTTGGCCTAATCATGACAGGGAAGAAGATCTGACGGAATTTCTTCAATCATGAAAGTTCAAAGATAAATAAATTAAAAAATCAACCTTTAACATACTTGATTTGATCGAGCATCAACAAATGCAACATTCATTAATAAAATAAAATGTTTATTTAGATATACCAGTAATATAAAAATAAAAATTTACTCATCCAATAGAGACTGGTTTGATACTTGTAATTCAGATGAACTCGTGCATACTTTTTAACATAATCTCAACCTAGAGTAACTTTTAAAGGCATTTGAACAATAAGATAAGCACAAGAATTCAATTATTAAGGGTCCGTTCTCTTTATCGTTTTCG